ATAAAGCAATTTCAATAAGAGTAGAACAATACGGAGTATAATTTATACATGAGATATAACTTATTGATACGTTCGTAATTTCCATTTCTATGTTTATGTTTTTAATTAGTTTTGCTTGACTTTTACTTTGGAAATTACACACTTTTGGTGTAATAGATTAGATTGTTAAATTCTTGTAAATATGTTAGATTAGACATATTCTGAGCTTAAGCAGGTTTTGGTCACCCAAAGTACAGTTGGTGAACCTAAAAAGTGAAGAGAAGGTGCAAAAGTTCAAAGACAAAAGAAGATCCTGAATTTTGATCTATACTCGGTCGAGTATTAGCTATACTCGATCGGGTATTAGGTTGGAACTTCAAATCGGATCAGATCCGAAGACAAAGGAACATGCAGGGAAGATTTTGGCCACGATTCTATGTCTATACCCGATCGGGTAGACCGACATACCCGATCGGGTATGCCTTTAAATTGCAAACGAAGATCGGTCGAGTATAGCCCGAATACCACTTTCTAAGCATACTCGACCGGGTATTCATATATACTCGATCGGGTATACACTTAGAAACTAGCCTGAAACCGATCGAGTATAGCCCGAATACCACTTTCTAAGCATACTCGACCGGGTATTCATATATACTCGATCGGGTATACACTTAGAAAATAGCCTGAAACCGGTCGAGTATACCTCGGATCGGGTGTTACACACATACTCGATCGGGTACCATGTATATACCCGATCGAGTACCCGATTCCCATCCCAAAAACCTATAAATACACCTCCTTTCCTTCACAAAAAGATATCCAATCCCTTGTACATCTAAGCTCAGTATAGAATAGCTCTTTCTTTATATTTTTCATCATGTTTAGTCTCCAAATGAGGAGCTAAACTCTTCCATCTTGGTTTTGCTACTTTGAAGCTTAATGAATTTGTAAGTTGTGAGTTATTTTCTTTAATCTTCTTCCTTGAATATTAATTCTTTCTTTCAAAATACTATCTCTATATCAAAGTTGGGGAGTGTTACTAAGATGACAATTAGTTAACATCTTGACATTGATTATAGTAATAGCTATTTCTTCCTCTATGATAATATCGGGGAGTGTTACTAAGATGACAATTAGTTAACATTTTGATACTAATCATAGTAGGATTCATATATTTTAATATTCTTCCTTGAGTATTAATTAATTCCTATTCATATTTCATGTTAATATCTTAAACATTACTTAAAGTATCAACTAGTATTGTTTCTCATATTAATTATTACTAGAATCAATCGGTTAATACGCTTGTTATTAATCCGGTTCTTTCAACGGTAGTAAACTTGGAATATTAATGCATGCATCTCATGGTTAATATGCCAAGGGGAATTAATTGTATTGATTAAACCAATAAACCGCTTGTGTTGAGGTTATCAATCTCAATCGTTTTCATCTTAAGTTTATTGCTACTATCAAGTTAATATACGGCGCTTGTTCTATATTGACTCGATAGTAAGTTTTATTAATGAACGCATCTCGTTATTAATAACTACCCTCGATGAACTGGATATACTCCTCGATTGAGTATTCGAGAGGAAGATAGTTAAAGATATAACCGGGATCGACGAACATTTCATTAAGTGGATAAAAGCAAAACCAAGTCATCATCTCATTGAATTAAACTCATATAGGTCGTTTATCTTAGTGTTATTAAACCAAACAAATCTAAAAACCCCTTTTTGTTACTATTTATATAAAAGAAAAGTATTCCTTTCCCTGTAGATACGAACCTTACTGCACTATACTACGTATTTGTGTCGTATTGATTATTTATTTTGAGTGCACCTAACGACGAGTGCACGTCACTTATAGTTCATAGTACGAAATTAGAGTAATCAAAATCCAGCAACGATGCCTAAAAATAATACGAAGTATATAGAAGTGAAAAGATTTATTCCAGTCGAGCTTGGCATATTGATTCATCATTTGCATTTAGAAATTGCAAATGAATATTATTCGTTCATAAAAGGAACTGTATCTAGTGTCTGAAACAGAAGCTAACTTACTAAAACACAAATAAACAAGGTAAATAACATTAATTCCGAAAAGTAAAAGAACAAAGTAAACGAAAAGATAATGCTCAAGCATCCGGCTTTTCAATCTTGATTCCCTTGAGTTTCTTATTTGTTGAACTCTGCGTAGAAGAGTCAACATGTTGCTCAGCGTTTGAAGGCCTCTTTAATGTTGAAGAAGGGGTGGTTTGTATTATGATGTCGTCTTCAGTTGAAGATGGTGTCTACATGCAAACATTTGTCAATTAGGGGTGAAGAGTCAAACATATTCGGATGGATAAATAAACAGTAAGTACTTACTATATTAGATTCAACTGTGACTGGAGATGAAAAAAGTAAATCAAGATCCTCATCGGAGTTATAGTCCTGAACATTTAAAAGGAGACCTCATTAAGATCCTCATCACAGTACACTCATTAAATTATATGAGCGTTGAATAGTCCTGCTTCAGAATACGTTTATTAAATTATTATAGAAATAACAATCAGCCTTTCAGGCTTCTTTGCTAAGAATATTTATTCAATCTAACATGTGAGTATGACATTTGATACTTATTCAGTAACTGGTTACATAACTAATTGGGAAAGATACACATTTTTTTAAATTTCAAAAGTGCAATTTCAAAAGTTTGATTTAGTTACATGGAAATAATCAAAATAGAACTTTTCCTTCTGGGGAGTTCATTTCCTAAAAGCTTGGTTGTGTTGAATGCAGCTTGTCATTCTGGTGCTTCATGTGTGTTAAGTTAATGTACAACTTACATATAGTTTTAATAAATGTAATCGTAATTAGAATAAAAATGAAATCTATTAGAGTAGAGATAATTACTATTAACAAAGAGATACGTATTAAGAGAGAGTTCATAGACTAACCAAACTAATCTGCCCAATCATTCAGATAATCAACACATTATGATTACTCAAGTACACTTTATTTCGTTAAATTAAGAATGTAAGTTAGGATTCATCATATTTATCGAGGCAGTACTCCTTTGTATATGTTTTAAACACCAAAACTTTTGATGAATGTGTGTATCCAGAATCATCAAATTGATTACTTTAGGACTAATTGGGATTAAATTCGAAAAATAGGTGAAAGAATTTGCCTGAAGTTTCAAAAATTGTACTTAAGAAGACTACCTCTAAACTGGAGGTGGATAAGTTTTATATGAACCTGCGTTTGGCTGGGAACAGACCAAAGTTGCTATGAACAAACCAAAAGTGAAATTAAATACATAAGTGGTATAGCATATAAAATTTTAATGTCTAAAATTAAAAAGTTATTATAAAAATGAGCAAGTTCTTAGAAGAGTAGTGAACATGGAAAACGAAAGGAATAATATAATCAAGTGAAGAACATAAGTGAGATAAATACGTCTCAAACTGGTCCACATACACATTCCATAAAGTACAAAAGAGACTTTTATTCCTATAAAGAAAGAAGATAAGCGTAAGAATGAGAATGAAAGATAAATATAGATAATCTTAATAACATACAATTGGAAACGGGGCCAATTTGATATACTTAACTCGATGTCCCGAATATAAAAGTTAGTGTATGTTGATCCTGAATCGGTATAATGCTTACTGAATTTGTCTAGGGGATTGTACACACCAATTACATCTAAAAATAAGAAATAGAAACTCATTTAGGTGACCATATATAGATGCAGTTATATGATTTGTGTTTATTATAAAGTTCTACATATAAGTATTATTATATTACTAAACTCTTACCAATGAGATCTGTAGTACTTTTTCCATCAGGGCAGTTGTGAATATCGTTGAAAGAAGTAAAATTATAAATGTGTAGGGGAAAGTCCTTATGGTCTTTTAATTCCTGACAGTTAACCTTAGTTCCTTCATGGAATTGTAACCTGAAAGGGTGTGATGCCGGTCTCCACTTTCCATTATTCGCCTTGACAGTGAAATTACACATGGCATACAACCCACCTTCTTCCAACTGGCTTTCAAATAGTTGAATTTCCGTACGGGATATAGATGCTTGAATGCGAACTTCCTATAAAAAGATTCCAAGGATCATTAAGAATAATTATCATTTGGATAAAAATATCTATAAAAGATGTGTAGGATAAGATACTTAGATTTCTTAGAAGTTTTAATGATTGAATCCAATGGAAGAAACTTAGCACATTTCATCGAATAGTATGGTTTGTCATTTTCACAAAGCAGATGAACAAATCAGTTTGATTAAAGATTTGTTCTTTAATTAACATATCAACTTGATGGTCACAGACTCACAACTAGGTGTTAAATTAAGATCATTATACTGGATAATTAAATTCTGAACTGTGAAAAATATATGTTCATTAAAGCCATTCATATATTAATATTCATTACAGATAGTATTCATTACAGATATACTAATATAGCTCATCCTATTATATATGTATGAAAATATCTAAATTAGCATAATTTTAGTACCTTCTTACTAAAACATAAAAATGTTAAAAATCAATCAAAAAAAATCATTTCTGAAGGTGGTTGAATTTATCTATTCACATGTGGGGGAAATTTGTTCTGGACTTAGAAAGAAGGTAATACATTGTCAAAAAAACAGAAGCTCTGAAGAAATTACCATTGAAATTGATTTGAAATTAATTAAATTGGATTCGAAATTTAACTAAATAAGTATAAAAAATTGCAGATGTTTCAGGGTGTCGTGGCAGTAATCTTTCCTCCGGCAAGGAATTTTTGTAAAAAACAGAATTTGAGAAGAAATCCATCTAGAATTTCCACAGAATTGTAGGAATGATCAAGAATAGTTGTCAAAAAGAATAGAAACACTTAGGGTCGTTTTAGAACTCAGTAAATGCTAGAAACACTTACTGTCAAAAAGAGTAAAACAGAATTTGAGAAGAAATTACAAATCAAGTTGATTTGAAATTAAAGAAAGTTGATTTGAAATTAACTAAATTCGAATAAAAACCTGCGGACATGGAGCATTTTTTATGGACTTTCTTCCGGCAAGTAATCTTTCTTCCGGCAGAAATCAATTTACGATTTGTCATGGAGCAGGCGGATCTATTGGCAGAATTCTTTCATCCGGCAAAGAATTCTCTCTATTGGCAGACCTCCTTCTTCCTAAAAAAGGGAAAGTTTTATTCATTTGCTCCATTGAAATGAAGGAATTTGGAGATAAGAGATAAGAGATAAGAGAATGGTGGAGAAAATAATAGGGATCAGTGATAAGAGCAGGAAGAGAAAAAAATGAAAAGAGTGGGTCGGTTGATTAGAAAAGAAACGGAGTGAAAAGAAATATGAACGGTGCAGATCATTTCAAAATGAAGGGTGCAGATGCATTTGTATTCCTATTTAAGTATATAGGATTAAATACTCCGTATCTATTCTATGAAATACCTACGGATGACTCCCTCTGTACGAATGACTCTAGCTAGTTTTGGCGCTAACTTGGAAGATTTCGTTTGCTATTATATTTACTAGACGAAGTACCCGTGCGATGCACGAGATATATCTAGAATTAAATAATGTCTTAATTACAATTATGTTTTATATGATGGTACATAATGTGTAATTTGGTCAAATAAAAAGATACGATAACGTTTATGTGTTGTTAAATTTATTAATTATATACGTAGTAGTTGTACTATAATGAAAAATTGGATCGTAAAAAAATTCAAGTAAAATTAAAAAGTCAAATGAAAATTCAAGTAAAAAAAGACGATAAAGTTTATGTATTGTTACGTTTATTGATCCAAATAAAAGGTGGAATCTCCCACCCCAGGAGCCCCCCCACCCCGACCCGACAGGATGGTGGGGAGGTTAGTCATGATGACTCAGTCAGCAGAATGGCAGTAGGGCCATACACCCGTGCGCACCAGAGGCCCAACCTTATTGCAGGTTCTGTGACCTCCACCCGGTCGCTGCGGGGTTTCGAACCTTGGTCCATTGATCCAAATCTCCCACCACTCGATCAACTGAGCTACCCGTGCGGGTATGTGTTGTTACGTTTATTAATTATATATGTAGTATACACTTTTTAATTTTACTTGAATTTGACACATTATGTACCATCATATAAAATTAAAATAAACGATAAGGTACTCTAAAACATGATAAGGTATAACCAATAACTCTATGTGACAGTAAAATAACCTGATAGTAAAACTATTAGTGGGCCTCGTGAAACTTTTTTGTTGTATTTCTTGTATGTATAGTATATGTTTTGTTAAATGCTAACGTCATACACTGTACAAATCGGTGACCAATAATTCGCTACCAGATGCAATATTAGCGATTGGCAGCAATGAATACTCTCTTCGTATTTTAAAGATAGCTACATATGACTTTGGGACATTATTTGAGGAGGAAAGTAATTGTGGTAATGAATAGTGTAGAAAAAGTAAGAAAGAATGTGTTAGTGTATGAAAGAGAAGATCAAAAATATAAAAAGTAAGGGTAATTCACTATTTTTAAGAGAAAACTTACTAAAAAGGAAAGTGTAGCAAACTTTTAAATACATTCTAAAAAGAAAAGTGTGAGAAACTTTAAAATACGGAGAGAGTATTTATAAAGAAAGTACAACAACAAAAAGTTTCATGAGACACACTCATTACATTATCAAGTTAATATATTGTCACATAGAGTTATTGGTATACTTTATTTTAATGTTACTTGCAATTTTTTATATGATCCAAATTTGCATTTTCTCACGTCTACTATTATGTATATAATTAATAAAAGTTACAGCACATAAGCTCTATAACTTTAAATAATTTATTATCCAAGTCTAGATATACATCGTGCATCACACGCGTATTTCATGTATTTTATATTGAAAATGTTACTCTCATTGCTAAGGGTTGTGGTATTTACTTTTTAGTATTGAGGTTTTAAGTCGTGGAATTTATATCATCATCGGAAAATAATTTTTTATTTAAAAAGTTAAAGTAGTGTCTCCAAAGACGTGTTTTTGCTTAAATTACACACTAATAATTGTACTATCAAGTTATACTTATTTCATTGTCACATAGAGTTATTATTATACCTTATCTTTTATTTTAATAGTAATGGATGTTTAAGATAAAACCTCTTTACTATTTTTGATTTCATCTTGTTCTTTTATAAAAGTAAAGATTATAATAAGAAATATTATTTTGGATGTATAAGAAATACTGTCATTAATGACAGTAAATAATGTCATGTCAATGCCTAATATTGTAAATATTTTGACAGTACTGACTCGAAGATGATAGTATACATTCCTATTTCGGAAAGAATAACATAGCAATCCTATTATGAAATTCCAAAACATGTTTAGTCCGATTTTGGAAATTTTCTCCTAAATTATATTCTCTTCGTCTTACTCAATCTTGTCAACTTTTCTTTTTTGTTTGTCTCAAAAACTTTGTAAATTTCCTGTGCACAAACCTCAATCTCAGAACTTTTTTCTTATTTCTCACATATTTCCAAGTTCGCAAAGTCCACCGGAACAGAGGTAATATACTATCTCCATCTCATGAAAATTTTCTCACTTGCCTTTTTGGGATGTCCAAAAAAAATCTTCCTATTTCCCTTTTTTGGAGAGCTTTGTATGGCTAACATTCATTTATTTTTTTCTTACTTAAACACAACCACACATTTCACTTTATTCTGACTTTCTTAAACTCCTATCCAGGTCAAATCGGGAAGAATGTTATGGGACGGAAGAGGTTATTTTAGTGGATGCATAAAATGTGGATATGTGACATGAGAGAGATAGACACACGAAAAAACATGTGTGGCGTTTCTCTCTCATTCTTTAGCGGTCTTATTAACTTTTGGTAAGCTTTTCTCAATAATATAATGTCTACAACTCGACATTATGTTTGACAATGTTGAGAAAAACTTACCAAAAAGTTAATTACTGAACTTGAGATATAATCATATGCAATTTAACTTTATTTTAAGCGGGAATTTTCTAGTCAATATTTGTAGTTACTTTGTTAAATTTTGTTATATAAATATTATTTTTTAACAAAGTTTATATTGCAAAATTTATATGTTAAATAATATTTTGGTTCAAGTTGGAGAAGAATCAGAGATCCCAGCAATTTTCCATCCACACAAGCAACAATTATTTTGGTTCCGGAGGGTATAAGCCAGAAATGTAACCCACCACAAACACTAGAGCCTTTCATGACACATCTCTGTCACAGGCAGATATGAAGCAAACAAATTTAACATATTAAGTTGCTATAACAAATTTCCTAGTAATTTTGGGTTCGTCTTTTGCCTTTCTGTGTATTGTAATCATTATTTACTTCGGTAATTATTTCTGTCTGAGATCTGAACATACTGAGTAGGGTACTTCCTCCAAACTTATAAAATACTTCTTCCGCTTATCTTACACCTAAATATCTACAAACTCATAAGCACGAATAAGGGTTAGGAAAATTTGGGTATGGAAAAAATGTTCGTGTAATGTTCATGCTTTATGATGATGCACCAGCAGCTTAAATTATTGTATTATCTTTCTTTAGTTTATCTCCGTCAAACAAGCTCTCTGTCCTACCGTTAGTACAACCTCGCCCATTTAATTCACTTCCGCCTCTCGCTTCTCCGACCGGTAGACAGGATCTGATTCTCAAAAAGCAGAAGTAGAATGCTTCGATGCTTCGATCTCCTCTTTTCCTTGTCGAGACAATTCTGGTCTAAAAAATCGCTTTTCGTTTTTTACACTTTTTATTCAAAGCTCGCCCAATATATTTTTATTTGATTTCTGACTAACTCACTACGCGTACTAATTGTTTTGGTTTATGAAGCCTTTGATTTTGAAGAGGAGGCAGAATTTCAATCGGCTGTGATGTGTGATAAGTAAGCTTAGCTTTTTCTTCTATCTACTAATGGGAGCAATGGATTGTGTATTTCATATTGAAAAATGTCTCTTTTATTTTACTTAAAAAAAACTAAATGGTTCTATGTCATTTAACTAAGATTCTGCAATGGGTCATCTCTTAGATGTAGTATCTTCCTTCTTGAAGTTGTTTTTTCCTGCAAATGTAGTAACTGAGTTATATGTGATATTGCATGGGAAGGGGGAAAATGTTGTTTATTAAGTGTTTGTAAATTTGCTTCAATGACATTCATTGTAATTTATTTGAGACTTTATGCCAATTGGTTTACTTATACCTCATAATGCACATAAACAAATTAAGAATGCATTTATTTACCAATACAAAGTCATCCAGTTAATAGCATATAGAGGGAGGAGCTAAAGGCCTCTTCTATTTCAATACTATACTTAGAAATTTCAGTTTACTTTCCTCATCTCGCTCACTATATGCTCCCATGTCTAGGTAGTTGGTATTGCACTAAGAGTGTCATTATGCCATGTTAATTTCTTATATGACATAAATAATGAAACAAAAATAGGCCCAAGTTTAGCTCTTTACAATATGTGTGAGTAGCTATGAGTTGAGTTCCCTCATTAAAATGCATAAATATATACATATTGACCAGTAATATTTGAGTTAAGTTCCCTCATGTTCACTATGTTGTTTTAACTCATTCAGCTCCCTTTACAAAGCTATATAAGGGGCAATGTAGTAGGTTATAGGAGGTTTGACTCATTTAGACTGCATATATTACAATTGTGATCGAATCAAGTTCTTTTTGGGCTGTTTTCATCCTTAGAGCACATATTTATCTGAAACTGTTATTAGAAAAATTTACTTTTTTCAGATTAAGCAGAACAACATGCTATCACCCTTACACTGACCTTGGATTCATCACTTGCTAACTTTCAGCCAGACTGAACAATAGATGTTTCATATTGACCAAGTATTTACGAAAAATACGAGGAATATGGGTGGTTAACTCACAAGTCATCCTGTATTTTAAAATCGCCAGGTTCATTGGAGGAAAGTTCTTGAATTCGAAAGATTCATATTATGAGGATTCAAATTCCATTGGCATGACGTCTCCAAACACATAGGAAAAGGGAGTAGTGAGAATAGAGTTTCTTTTGTGTCAACCATGATTCTTTAGTTTCATTGATAAGTTTCCCAAGTATACTCTCATTTCAGAACTTTTGGTGCCTAATACGCTTTGTTGTATGTTCTGTTTTAGGCTGAACGGATTGCAAACATTTTTGTGCAAGCATTGTTCCTTATCAAAGGTATGCAACATTATTCAGTAGTTACTTTGAAAAACTAATTTACGTTCCTGGTATGATATAACAATTGAATGGTA